CCAACTAATTTAAACTTCTTATATATATATATATATATATATATATTTAGTTTTAGATGGACACAATATCTTTATTTATTTTTATGTGGTGCTGAGAATCAAACCCAGTACCTCACATGAGCCAGGCAAGTGCTCTACCACTGAGCTACAACTCCAGACCCTTGGACTTCTTACGTGAAGTAATATTTTGAGACCTTTAGACTGGGGTTTTCATTTCCTTATAGTCAAATACATCCTCTCCCTTCTACATTTCCCTTGCACATGGCTGTTTCCATTTTTCAATTCCCTGCCTGGCAAACTCCCACTTCAAGACAAGGCTTCCCATCGTCTCCTCTGTGATAGGATAGATGGATACGTTGTCATGGGATCTTATGTTTACTTCCGTCTACCTCTCCATTAGACCATGAGATTCTTGAAGCCACTGATAATCTTTGTATTTCTAGTGCAAAGATGTTTGTTGAGTGAATTAACAAATGGATTGGGAGATTATTTTATGTTTTGGTTCAGTTTTCCACTCCCACAATATGTTTTTGTAATATTCAATGGTAGTGCTTATAATGATGATAGTGAACTTGGATGAATTCATTACTGAGCCCATCAGATCTCATATTCATGCACATTAAACCACTGAGGGATAGAGAAGAAAAATAAAGAAGTAAAAAATGCAAAGTTCAGAGACTCTGAGAGGATGAACTACAATTCAATTACTTGGGAATTCATTTATGCAAAGTGGTGGCACAGGCCTGTAATCCCAGCTACTCAGGAGACTGAGGCAGAAGGATCGAAAATTTGAGACAGACTGGGCTATTTAGTGTAACCCTGTCTCAAGATAAAATGAAAAGTACTGGGAGTGTAGCACAGTGGTAAAGCATCCAAGGATTCAATCCTCAATTCCACCAAAAATAAATAAATAAATAAGTCAAAATAAAGGTATCAAGAGAAACAAAAAGATATTAATCTTCTTTATCAATGTGACTTTCAGGAATGCACTTTCTGAGCTCTTTGGTTCTAAAAAATGTAACTGCTCAGAATGATTTCTTCCACAGGGTAACCTCCATTGGATGCTCCCAGAGATTTAATTCATTCATTTACTTATTTGAAAAATTTTTTTACATTGGTGCACTATAATTACAAATAATAGTGAGATTCATTATGCTATATTTGAACTTGCACTTAACATAATTGGATCAATCTAACTCCTCAATCTCTTCCCCTTTCCTCCCCCAACCCACTTGCTCTAATCTACTGATCTCCCTTCTATTATTATTATTTCAATTAGTGCATTATAACTATATGAAGGATATATATATATATATATATATATATATATATATATATATGAAGGATCAGAGATTTCATTTTAAAACTTACAACTTTATAAGACTAACTCCAAGATGGTATTAGATGCACACACTTAAAATATCAAGACATGTTAGAAGATAGCATTACCAACTCTCATAAAAGTCCTAGCAGTCTGTTAGCACTAGTTGATAGAACATTTTGCAATGATGGAAACATCTGCATCATGCAGCATGGTGGCCACCAGCCACGTTGTCTAATGAGCCCTTGAAATGTGATCAGCATATTTGAAGAGCTGATGTTTTAAAGTTACTTTAATAATTAATTCAAATTTAAATATAAATAGTCACATGTAGCCCTGCATGTTCGGCACTGCAGGTCTGAAATTTTTGTGCCCCACTATTGGTCAGTATAGGCTAGATAATACTGTAGTAACAAATAACCCTAAAAGACGAGTGGCTCCAAACAGCAGACAGTTTTATCTCTCTTTCTCACTACACATTCATCACATGTCATCTGGGGAATTCTGTTCCATATTTCCTTATTCTGGGATCCTCTTGAATGCTGCTGGTCTCTATAACAGAGGGACAATTTAAAAAAAAAAAAAGTCTGAAGAGCCTTGCACCAGCAACCAAATGAAAACTTGGCCCATGACACAGATGTCTTCATGTCACAATTCATTAGCCAGAACCAATCATGTTGCCCTATCTACCCACCAAAGAGCCAAGAAGTGTCATCCAGTTATGGATGTCAAGAGAGAGAATTTTAGATGATCAGCACTCATGACTAAATAAGTAAGCATTACTAATAAAATTGATCAAAAATAAATGATGCTTTTAAAATTCAAGTGTGTTTCTACCAAAGGAACCAAAGGAAACATGGGAGGGGAAAACTGTGCACAAACACCAGAAATGCTCATTTTATAAAATCAAGGAATGAAGGAGGATTTGAATGCTGTTTCAGAATCTTTCACATAATTTTATTAAGCTTTTCAATGGGCAGATCTATCATTTGAAGAAGAAAAAAGAAGAAAGCATAAGCATAATTTACTTTTCATTATAAAGAGGATAATTTTGTCAATTTAGACTTAAATGAAAAGATATCTATTTTAGAAAATAAAATAAGTCTCTCTATCCTTGCAACAGTAATATCTTACTGTTCCAAGTATAATCTGTCCATATTTATTCACAAATTATTGAGTTCCAAGTATAATCTGTCCATATTTATTCACAAACCATTATCAGAAAATTTTGAGAGAAGATGAGGCCGTAGAGATCAGCTGTTCTAACCTCCAATATGAGAGTCCTTCCCATAGAAATCCGTATCTTTGGGGTGGCAGAGGAAGTCTACCACTGTGTGGGAACACAGTCGATTGGTGGACAGGAGAAACTATTTGAGGACTCCTCCTGCTGCATCAAAAGTAGCATCAGGCTGGGTGTGGTGGCACATGCCTGTAATCCCAGCAACTGGGGAGGCTGAGGCAGGAGGATCAAAATTCCAGGCCAGCTTCAGCAATTTAGGGAGACCCTCAGGAAATTAGTGAGAACCTGTCTTAAAATAAAAAAGGACTGGGGATGTGGCTCAGTGGTAAAGTGCCCCAGGGCTCAATCTGCAGTACCAAAACAAAACAAAAAAGCATCCTACAGCTTTCCATCTGTCCTAGCTGGGCAGCCACCCAGTGAGGGCAGCTGCTTTGCTTTGTGACAACCCTTAACTCTCAGGAAGGAGTCTGCCTGGCCTTTGGCCTTTCTCTTTTCTGCTACTGTTTCTCCCTGTGGCTTGGCCCACATGCCCTCTCTTCTTGGAGGATGCAACAGAGTTGGAAGTAGGCTGGAGAAAGCACAGACGTTGGGCACAGAGAGAGTATGGGCATCAAATTCTAGCAACTAATATTTGATTCTTAATGTTCTTCTCTGTAAAATGGTGACCAAGGGCATTGATGTCTTAGTCTCATTAAGAGGATTAGATCAGCAGACTAATTGGTGCACAATAAATATTTATTTCAGCATGATGTTTCTTTTAAAATGTGATGTGTGGAGTTGAACATGATAATTTAAATGTGGTCTGTTCTATAGGGAGCAAGATACTTCCCTTCTCTGGGATATCATCTTAGTCCTTCATTTATGTAGCCTGAAAGTATTAGCATTATCTTTTGAGGGCAGCCAGATTATACTATTCATTCACATTGTACTTAACAGTGCCAATTTCCTCTAAGTCACCACTTGACTTAAGTTGTAGGCATTTTAAGCCCAACGTGCAAGAATTTAAATCAGATAAAATTTGATAGGAATGAATATTGCTTCAGCTTATTGCTCATTAGCTTCTAGCCAAAGCTTAATCCTTTGAATCATGATCCAATGCTAAATATCAACTGCTTCTTCAAGAGATGTATATTCTATAAATCTGATGTGTATGTGGTTCCTGGAGAGATCACACTGGAGACAGCCAGACCTGAAGTTTGCATCTGAACTCTGGAGTACTCCCAGGGAGGAATGATTAACTTTGTTGAGCCTCAGTTTCCTTTTCTGTAAAATGGAACTAACACATGCATAATAATAGTACTTCAGTGAGTTGTATGAATAAGCTGTCCACCTTCTCAGATTTTATTTGAGCAATTAATAAAAAATATTTGACCAGAATAAGACAAGTCTGAACTCTGTACCACACAACCATCAGCCTTCTTTAAAGCTGGACAGTCATTATTATTATTATTATTATTATTATTATTTGAGAGAGAGAGAGAATGAGAATTTCAATATTTATTTTTCAGTTTTCGGCGGACACAACATCTTTGTTTGTATGTGGTGCTGAGGATCGAACCCGGGCCGTACGCATGCCAGGCGAGCGCGCTACCGCTTGAGCAACATCCCTAGCCCAAAAGCTGGACAGTCATTATTTTTGAGCACACATATCTGCCCCATGATCTAGCCTACACTGTTCCATTTCATCTTTTAGGTACATCTGGGCAGGTTTTGTTTAATGCCTTATTAATACTCATAAAGTCAGTTTTCATGGGACTATCTGTATGCATCGTTCTCTCTTCCATCTGAAATTTTGGATGGATAGTTATTATTTTTAAAATTCTCTGTTAATTGGTCCTCCTTTTTCTTCTAAGAATACATAGAGGTCTCTGGTTTCTAGGCTACCAAATTTCCCAAAATGAAGTTAGAGTTTCCCTGGCTCCTTTTAAAGTCATTGCAATAAATGGGGGCAGCCTTAGTCAAGACAGATCTCCTTTAACGCTAGGGCTGTGTGTGTGTGCACACATGTGTGTCCAATAGTGCAACTTGGCTTGAATGACATCTGTGGACTCTGCTCCTGTCTATTCAGTATCTCCACCGTCAAATGGGAGCTAAGGTTCCTCATCACTGTTGCCATCACCATAGACAATTAGAATTCTGGGGGAGACAGTCTGAAATTCAATTCTAACCAGTGGCTCAATCCAAACTTGAAATCTGTGTGGGGTGGGATGGCAATGTGTTCTGATAAAGCAGGCGGTGAAGGAGAAGCGCCCCCTACCAAGGCATAACAACCAGTCTTAAGTAAGTCCTTTTGTTGATGACTTTATCCAAGAGACCATTTTCCCTGGAGACTTTTCTCAACTTCAGACTAATCCTTTCCTGGCCACACAAGTCCTTTAGTTGGGGGACATTGTAAGTGAATATAAGAGGGACAGCCCTCTATAAGCACCAGTTCTGTCTACAAATTCTTTCAACTGTCAGTTTCCCATCTGTCCTGTTGGGAAATTGACTTTCTGGCCCAGGAATCTCTCTCAAAACAGGTGAAATTGTTCAGAAGTTCTCTCTCAGAGAACCTTAGTTTCTGCCCAGTGTTTGAGCCAATCACTGTTAAATTCTAGGCAATGACCATAACAATCTTCCATGGCTTTTTCTTTGAGAATTATGAACCATTTCCTTGAACATCATATTTAAAATATCCCAGGTGTGCAGTATGGAATTAGATTGGAAGCTTCTTTGTAAGCTGAAGCAAATGAAAACTGAGGCAGCATGAAAACAGCCCTAGAAGGGAATAAAGAATAAATAAGATCAAAATAATGAACAACAACATATAGTTTGAGTCAAGAAAACCTGTTAAACAGTATTGCAAAGTTTCTAGTGGTAAGTATAAGAGGCAGCATGTTACCCCTGGTAATAAGAACTGAGACTTAAAAAATAATCCAAATCTAACTCTGGGTGTACAAACTACAGTGTTAACTCACCCCAATCCACTACTCAAAACATGCTACGCTTTGAAATAACATGTGAACAGGGCCCACTGCAGTGCCTGGCACATGGAATGCATCCAGAGAATTTTAGTTCCTTCCCATTTCTCCTATAGATAGCAGTAGACATTTTTTTTGTCCATGCCTGAAACTGACATTTTAAGGATCTATCGTGAGTTTTAATTTTGAGGAATTGCTGCCAGTTACCAAATCCTAACACCTCAATTTACATTTTGACTCTCCTGAAAAGTGAATATTTTAACATAAATTCAATTCAGTGGAAAAGATTTACAGGCCCCCAGTGTCTGTGTGATTACAGCTCTTAGTCTCTTTAACTCCAGCACTCTCAGATTTTGCAGATCCCAAGCCATTTATTAAACAGTTTAATTGCTCTAGCTTTTCCCTCTTGTGGTTCATCTCCTACCGGTTTTATCTCCTTACATTAGTCTCAAGGCCTAGGGATATCATGAGATTACTCCAATGGGGACTCAATCTGCTTCTTGCGTTCTTCAGTCGCTGGCACAGGCACCAAGTTTGACCAGCTGCATTTAATTGATCTTCTATTGTGACTAATTTATGCCTATAGGTGACAATTCTTTGTGCAAAGTCACTGTAGATCGGAAAGGCAAGGTTATCTCCCCACCTTCTGGCTGCTAAGTAGGACCAAATACATAACAACTGCAATTGAAATCATCATGATAATGCTAAGGACCACCACCATCTGAGACCATTTTTGTTAGTATCTTTGATCATTTTACGAAGGGCACATGCTTCACTTTATAGATTGCAGCTGAAGTTCATCCAGCTCTCACACCTAGGTGGTTTGATGTGGCATAATTAAACAATAAAAACTCTGCTCTAGAAAATATTTTTCTTGAGGAATACCATGCTATTGCATTGCCAATTGTAATTCCAGTTGTATATTGTCAAAATACAAACTTAGCGTATTTCATAAAATACTCTGGGGAATAGCTCTAACTCTAAACTTCCCTGTTCTTTGAAGTCTAGATCATTGTTGAAGAGCCAGAAGGCAGACATCCTTGATGTACATATGCCTTTAAATAGTGACAGTCAAAGATAGAGATCCAAGAGAAAGACAAAGAGAAATCCAAAGAGCTGAATCCTGCCATGTGAGTAAGTCGGGTGTGTGTGTAGGGAATATGTTGGTAGTTACCATCTAGGCCCCAATAGCTCTGTTAGCAAGCACGGCCCAGCTGTGCCCACCAAATGGATGGTCAGATTGTAGTATAATGTTTGTAGTTTGGGACATAGCCAGGGTCACCTAAAGAGCTGGCTGGCCCTGTACATGAGTTTCAGCTTGACTTCTCTGTCTAGCCTCCACAGAAGGACCATGTGGGAAGTGCTCCTAGGGATGTCTCTACTATGGTGGCTTTTGGGGTTGTCCCACCTGGCTTCTGGTTCCTATTGGCAGAATTTCTTTTAGAGTATGGTAGCTTTGGAAAAATCCTCCACAATATCACTTCCTCCTTGAGATTACCTTGGAAGGTCATTTGTACCATTAAGGTGACTACTTATCCTGGTTTACCAGGGACTGTGCCAAATTTAGCACTGAATGTCTAGCCTGGCAGGAAACCCCTCTGTTTGGGATAAACTAGGACAATTGGTCACCCTTTCTTATGGTCTTGCTTTGTCAGAGAGCCACCTAAGGAAGGGGAAAACGAGGTCAGTTGTAAAGTTTTGTCCCAGCTGCATGGGCCAAAGGTGTCACAGTGATCTGGAAGCTTTCTACAGAGCCCCATCATGCCAGGAGTGAGAGAGACAGGTGATATACACTGTCCTCTTCCCCAGGGTAGGAGGTATGATAATGGAGGTCTGAAGCATAGGCCACCTGTTCCTCAGACCCAGAACAGAGATGCTCTGAACTGGTGAATAATGTTCTCTCTGCCTGGCGGCAACTGCTTTTCAGTTCTGTCCAGAAGGAGTCTCCTTGTTGGGATCACTCACCTGGAAGATTCTTGGTGACTCCACCCCTTCTTTTCACCAGCATTTGCTAAACCAGGCTGGGTGGTGACCTTTCTGGTAGGAGGCCAAAAGGTCACACATTTCTGGTTTTAGCCTCACTCCTGAAACTGTAAACAAAGACTCCTCTGTAGGGAAGAAAGAAAGCACCAACATATTATTTCCTGGGATGTTTCATAGTATGTTATACTTTTATGTCTGTTGTAACATTGTCACCTGAAGAGATGTCAAAACACGAGCCAGACTTATTTACTAGTGATTTATAGTAACTCAAGGATGACTCACTTTACCAAATCTCCTAATAATCGTCAAGTTCTTCCTACTTGACTCAGGTCACCGCGCATTTACCAAATGAAGACTAGGGCAAGGTAGGGTGCTATGTGTGGCAGATGGTAAAAACAGGGATCGAGTTGGGAGAGACCTACAGACACAAGCAAGGGCGGAAAGTGAGGTGCAAACAAAAGAATTTTGATAATCTGCCCCCTTGGGGAACATCAAGAAAGAGCATCACCAACCTGGAAAAAGATCAAAATTCAGAATTCTAAGTCCAGTTCTCCATTGGTCTCTGCTTCCCAAATCCAAGAATCCAAGTCCTTTTATATAAAATGGTACAGTATTTGCTTACAGCCTCTGCAGATCCTTCTGTATACTTCAAATCATCTCTAGGTTACTTATAATACCTAATATAATACACATGCTATGTAAATAGTTGCTATATATTGCACTGCTTAAGGAATAATAACAAGAAAAACAGTACATGTTCTGTCCAGATGTGAGGTTTTTTTTCCCCCTGAATATTTTTGATCTGTGTGGTTGGTTGAAACCAAAGTCGGTAAACCAACTGATGAGGATCCTTTGGGCACAGAGGTCTATTGTAAGGTTTCTGTTGGACGTGTGGATGACTTCTGTGCCATCAAAAAGTTAAAAAAATATATAAATAAAACCACTGTCAATTAGGGACAGTTGGTATTTGGTTCATTGAGCACACTAGCAGTTTCCATGTCCACAGACGCCTGTTTTTATTAAGCGCCTATTGTTTCTGAGTGCTTACTAAACTACAGTTATGGGCCAAATCCTCCAAAAGTTAACATTTAAGAGTTCCATCTACAAATGGGGAAAGCTGAAATTCCTGGCAGATTGCTGTAAATTTAAAGAAGTGAACATATGCAAAACACCTTGAGGAGTTCCTGGCATACAATGTTTCTAATAAGTAGTAGCCATTGTTAGAAACCTTAACAATGGCGCCAAAGCAAATCTACTAGAGAACTCGTTCTCCTCCAAGTCTCACAATCAGCACAAACCTGGGTAGCTCAGAACATCTCACAACTCTATAAAGAGAGAAATTTCTATGTTTGGCTCTCCACATGCATAAAATGTCCTTAATGATAGTGTTTGCTGGAAGATGCTCTCACCCAAAGGGTAGAAATAAACCTGCAATGCTGGCCCTGCCTCTCTTGGCCAGAACTTTCTTAGATGCTGTGGGGAGTCTGTGGCTCTTACTTCTTTGGTTTGGAATTATATATTTGCTAGACTAGAAAGGGGAGACAAGTTTTGTCCATATGCATTTGACATCCCCACAGGGACATTATAATATGCACTTTTGTAGTCAACTTTCTTTTAGCTCATGAACAGTTAAATGGCTAAAATAAACAGTGTGTACACTTTACAGGTGATGCTCAAATCGCCTCAAATCCAAACAATGTTGGGAACTTCTATGGGGGAGAAGTCTCCTTGTGCCTTGGGGACAGTGGCATGAAAAGCTGGGATTTCCCCCAGGCTTCTTTGCCTATCAAAAGCAGCTCCTCAAAAACACAGAGGACTGCGGAGAGAGGGAAGGAGGAAGAGAGAGAGAGAGAGAGAGAGAGAGAGAGAGAGACAGAGACAGAGACAGAGACAGACAGAGAGAACAAACAAGGAATCAAAAGGATTCTCGTTTGACTGTGGACTGCCAGACTCTCCTTCCCAACTCAGAAAAAGAAAGAGAAAGGTGGGAAAGAAAAAGAAAGAAAAAAGCCGTAGAGCGGCTCTCCTTCTTCAGCAATCTCACAAATGCAAAACCTTCCACTCTGGTGACTCCTCATTAGCTGACTGAATCTGACAGCATAATTATCGCAGCTGCTTCGCGCTTAGAATAAATAAATACGAAAGTGGGTGTTTAAAAATTTTTTTTTGAGATGAGAAATTCAGTCATCTCGACAAGTCAGTAGGACAAGTTTATTTAAAACTTTTAGATTCTTATGTATTTAGATCATTTCGGAAGGAGATAATGAGATAGTTGTCTTTCATTCTAATTGAGTTCCCAAGCTCAGGGCTGTTGGCTGTCACCCCTTTCAAACTTTGCTTTAACTTTCCTTCCTTTAGAAATCTGATCCTGGTGTCTCCATTTACTCTTCCTGGGCTGATAACCTGGAGAAGGCGCGGTGCACTGGAGTGCAGAGAGTGACTTAATGGGATTGAGAGGCTAAATAACCTTTCACAGGAAACAAGATAATCAAATCCCTTTTACTTGTCTGTAATGGCAAAAAGAAAAAGCGTAAGTTAAAAAGAAAGCTTGGAAATCATGCCATCCTTTCAAAATGTCTTGCCATTCCCCTCATCACGTGGTCTTTGCACTATGCTTACATATCATCAGTCCATCAGCTGGGGTTGCTTAGTGCATGCAATTATTCAGAGTGCACACGTAGTCCTGACTAGGCGGTAATTTTAGCTCATGTGTATGTATAGAGGCTTCATATCTTCAAAGCCCAAAGGATCACACAGTACCTTAAATTGAAGCTGCTAACTAACAAGGAGTGCACTTCCGACTCTGACTAGGGGCACGGTACATATGCATTTCCCATTAAAGCAGATGATCTTTCCTTTTAAAATTAATTAGTGCCTATTTATCTTTCCTCTCCCTCCTACTTCTCGTTCTCCTAGGACCACACTTACATGAACCAGTGAGCTAAAAGTTTTACAAAATAAACATCCTGTTCCATTTGGGGCAAGGGAAACTTGTGTTGGCCCACTGTGCAGATGGAGAAATTAAGGTTTATGAAGGCCAATAGTGCATGTTGTGTTAAGTGGGGGAAAAAAAGAAAAAAACAGGTCTTTAACTCTCAATTCAGAACCCAGGATCCCTGTACCATTTTGTTTTAATCTATTCTTTTAAACAATAAAAATAATTCAATATCAATTTTTAAAAAAAATTGAAAGGGGAAAAATAATCTGCAAACCCCCTAAACTAGAAGAACATTTTAACTTTTGTGTGCTAACTTTCAGTTTTATTCATAAGTATGGTAATTTTCACAGGTACATTATAATTTTGTATTCTAGTTTCTTGCAGCTCATGTCCCAGCAGAAGAATTTCCATAGTACCGCACACATCTGTTAATTATGTTAATTGGCCGCATGGAACTGTATGTTGAGTCAACACACACTTTCCCCAATCCTTTCTCTAGTGTTTAATATTTGAACTTGTTTCCCTCATTTTTATTTTATATTTGTAAAAACCTTATAGATACCACTGCAATGAACATTTTCATTAACCTAGCTTTTATTTTATTTTATTTTTCCTATTCAATCGTTTCTTCGAATAGTTTTCAGGAATAAAAATACAGGGTAGAATAGTTGATGGTGTTTGATTTCTAATGTAATAAATCAGGCAGGAACCACAAGTCTGCATGATTTCAAATTAAAAAAATAAAGTAATGGAAAAAAACCCCTGCTTTTTGTATTGATTGTTTTGATTACATACATGTCAAAACTGATCAAATTGCATGCTTCAAAATATGTGCATTTTATCGTACGTTAGTTTTACCTCAATAAAGCTATCAAAAAAAAAAAAAAAAGAACCCAACACAGGGTAGAAGGGTATGAGCATTTATTTGTGTGATTCCTACCCTAATGCTTTGCAAAAATTGCCCCAGTTTACAGCAGAGAATCATTTCACCACAAAGCACTGGGAGTCACCAGCACTGGGAGTCATTAGGTAAAAGGGAGAATTAACTAACTTGTTATTTGTATTTATTTAACCCCTAGTAAAGCTGTCTGTTTATTCCATGTATCGGTATGCTCTTTTTGTTTCCTCTTGCATAAACTGCTATTTTATGCCTTTGCCCCATTTTCTATTTGATTCCTGATGTTTGTCTTGTAAAATGGAATGAGTTATAGAGTGAAACAAAAACCATAACCAACACTGAAGTCTTAAAACCCAAGGGTGACTGTGTATGTTATTATAAAAAGAAAAGAAAAAGAATAGAAACTAAGATCAGATGGCACTGAGGAAGGAGTCAGTGGTACTGGGCTGTGAGTCTATTAAATCTAAAAGTGAACCTTCAAGTGTTGCATATTAAACATGTTACCTAGGGACGTTCGGAATCTTTCCCAGGAAGGTTTTAAACTAAACATAGAACATGAGACAGCAGAAAGGGCAGGGACTGGGAATCCAGCTCTTGGTTCTGCTCCTTGTTTTGCTCTGAAGTTCTTAGGAGGTCTCTACAAGAGCAATATGTGGTGGGAAGAGTGTGGGCTTGGAGTCTGATGTGAAGTCAGGTTTAGACCCTACCACTCACAGCCATAAATTAAGCAATTGGCCTCTCTTAGTCCAATTTCCTAATCTGTAATATGAAGATGATAATCCCAGCTTCATCGATTAGTATATAGTTTGAATGAGAATTATGTAAAGTACATGGATGCTCCATAAAAGGCAGTAATTACCATTCTGCCCTGGGTGTCAGCAATCCATCTCTGTAACGAAGGTATAGAACAAGTAGTCTGCAAGTCCTTTCCCTCTCCAAGGGTCTCTCTTTCCTCAAAATTTCATCCTTACTTGGAGATTCTTTCAGAACATAATGATAACAAATTTAACCAATTTAAGAGCTTGGCAGGGCAGAGGGACTTGGTTTACCCAGCTGTCTCCTATCAACAGTCTATGCAACACCATAAACCATATCTCAAAATAAACCATATCTCAACCTGAGATTTCCTCTACTCTACTGTATTGTAATACATTGAGGACAACTGTTGAGTGTAGAAGGTATGAATTAGTGTTTTATGAAAGCCATTTCCTAATTTGTTTCTTTTTTTTTTTTTTTTTTGGTATCATGATTGAACCCAGGGTACTTGACCCCTGAGTCACATACATTCC